AACTCCTTTTGAGTGAATTCCTGTTTGCAAAGACATTTCAAACGACTTTTACTGAACGGATTGCGATCGCACTCTCTTTGGTGTCCCACTAATTGTCCCAATTTTACCACAACTTCACAGCCATTGGTCGCGAACTCGCATTTGACTCTCAAATCGTTCAAGAGATTGACAATCAGTCTCTGGGGTTCAATGAGTTGCGAAAATGAAATCAAATTATTGTCTTTCGGACAAACGACAGACACTTTCATCTGATTTTGTATGCATTTAGTGCAGAAGAAGTGATTGCAATCCAAAATCATTAACGGCTGTAGAAGTACTCCATTACATAAACCGCATATGAATTCTCGACTGACGCTCTCCACAAACCTCTTCACATCAATTCCCATATTGAAGAATATTTGTCACAAATCTCTTGTAATAGAAAACTAACAGTAATTTGTACTTTAGTTTGAAATTGTTTGAATCTAAACACATAATACTAGTGTAACGTTAAACAAATTGATTTTCAATGAAATAATAATTGAATTGTTAGTCACGAGAAGAGTATTTAAATTTCCTTTTCGTGTATTTATGCCAATAATAACTGTTTGGCATAATTGCGAATCTCTTGTAATTATCATTAAATGGTGGACCAAATGGAAAGTGTAGTAATTTGTGTGGACAACAGCGAGTCTATAAGCAAAGAATATCTGGAATCGCAGATCAGAGTCATTGAGTTTGTCTGCAAAGCGATCTTTAGATCAAATCCCATCTTACTCCAGAGTTAGTAGTGCAGAAGTGGCCTCGGATTTTATTTCTTGGCTAAAAGGTTTCTAAAACTGTTATAAAGTCTCTAAAACTTTAATTAAGTTTCACTCCCTGTTTACTCAAATTCTACGACTCTAACCAACTCTTTCGGGTATTTGTGTCAAACAGTGGGCACTAAAAGACGAATCTTATTGTTTGTCCACTCATTGCTCACTGACGAAGAATGCTGTATAAGAGATACGGCCCAAGAGTTACTCCATGTCTTTCCCGAACTGATTGTCGATATAATCAGTTTTGGGATCAATGAAGAGCTGAACTCAACTAAACTGAAGGCTTTATATACAGTTTTCTCACAAAACAACGAATCAAATCTGTATGAAATCGAGACCACAGATGATTGTCTTATTTGGGAGGCATTGAAGCGAACGACTCTTCTGAACATTAGTGATGAAGACTACGATGTCTTGAAAACAGCCATCAATTGTGGCCAAAGCGCGCTCTCAGAGGATATGTTCACAGATGCAGATAAAAGTGAAGACAAAGAGCTCATGAATGCCATCATTGAGTCGATTAAAGATTCAGACAAAGATGTCTATCGGTTATCTCGTCCACAAGACACCACAACTGCAGAGCAATCCCAGGCTAAAGGGCACCTATACTTAATCGAATTAAGCGGATCCCCGGCCTATGCTTGTCCTCAAGAGTTTCCACAAAACCACGAGAAGAAAGAATCAGAAGAATTGACTTTCAAGAAGAAAGTCGACAAAGAGTTGGCCAAAGAATCGGAGTTAGAGTTAGAGTCAGACAATAGACCCACTGATATAAATATGAATGAGTGTCCAGATGTGGATAGAAAGAATCAGAAGAATTGACTTTCAAGAAGAAAGTCGACAAAGAGTTGGCCAAAGAATCGGAGTTAGAGTTAGAGTCAGACAATAGACCCACTGATATAAATATGAATGAGTGTCCAGATGTGGATAAAGTGTCCAAAAACTGATTGAAAGCAATTAAAAGTCATATCAACTGATGATTCAAAATCAAAACAAAATGTGACAAAATTGAATGAAAATTTATATTAACTCTAGGTTTTAGATAGTTATTAAAATTGATTGATTGTACAGTATTACCGTATAATTAAAATTCACATGTTTTGAATTGATACTCTATTTATTTAACTGTAGTATACCACTCGTTTCAATAAATTTCCTTTTATTACTAAATCCAAAATTAACGAATAATTATACAAAGTATTCATAGTTACTATATATTGAGATAATGGAAGACATGATTAAATGATAACACTTTATAATAACCGTAAGAATCGTAACAAAATAGGAATATAAGTAAAACTTTCATTAAAAATTGGACACAAATCTGAGTATTTCTTGATTTCCATACAATTCTTATAACAAAAAACTACTTCATTTGATAATTAAAATAAAAAACAATTTTGAACTCAATTTATCTCTAATAGTGAATACCATTCACTTCGCTGTCTCTAAGCTCTTGTCATCAATGGTCTGCAAATACGGCGGATTAGTGTAGTCCTGGAGTCCGATCGGGTGTTTGCGTTCACCGAAGAGGGCGGTGCCGACCCTCACCTCATCGCTGCCCAAAGCGATCGCCTCCTCGAAGTCGGCGGTCATCCCAAAGCTCAGCTCCAGAGCATCGACACCGACGGCCAGACTCTCACAGATATTGCGGTGACACTCAACAAACGCCAAGAAGTCAGGGTTGGGTCCAGTGGTCCAGTCGTGACCGAAACGGCCGACAGTCATGAGTCCCGTGAGTCTCAGGTGCGGACACTCGGCGCGGATCAGTCGCACCAAAGCCAGCGCTTCCGAGAAGTGACAGCCGGTCTTCACGTCCTCCTCACCCGAGTTGATCTGAACCATCGCATCGATGGTGCGCTGCCTCTGCGACAACGCCTTCTCCAGACTTTGAGCCAATTTCTGGGAATCGATGGTTTCGATGGCAGTCAAGCGATCCACTCTTAAGAGTTGATTGATTTTATTGGTCTGAATGTGTCCAATGAGTCGCCACTGGATCTCAGGACACGCCGTTACTATCAACGGGTCCACGGCTTTGGTACACAACTCTTGTATGTAGTTCTCGGCGAACACCCTCTGACCGCACCGGTAGGCCTCTACTATCATCTCCTGGGACTGTGTCTTGGATGCGGCCGCCAGTCGTACCTCTTTCTCGGGCGCACCCGATGTCTGAGCTCTTCGGGTGACCGCTTGTGACACTCGGCCACGAATGCCATCCAAGTTGTGTCGGATGTGATCGCAAGACATTGTGTCCACACTAAGTGTGGAAGTCTTTCAAAGTTGGGATCAATTGATGGACTGATTGAACGAAAACATCGAAATCACGTGACATTCAGTTCACTGCAAACCAATAGACGGAGACTTTGTTTGCATTGCATTTGACGTTAAGTTTGAGTGTTTTGTGAACTAAACAGTGGTTTAAGTTGTGATCAGTTATTGAATTTAATTTATTGTTTGTTTTAATCAATACAATATGAATGCAAATTAATTAATTGTATTAAAAACAAGCTAGGAAATTTACATTAATTTTATTGTGGGTTTGACTTGTTATTTGTACCTTTCTCAATTGAGAATATTCTGCACTAAATTCTGCACTAAATTCTGCATTAAGTTGTTAATTGTTTGGCCAATAGTTTAAGATTTTTATTTTAAATGCAGTTTAAATAAAAAATTATTATTTCCTAACATATAATAATGAAGTGAAATAACATAATTATTAAAATGCAATAAAATAAAAATAAATGTTAAGTTATGAGGGCTTTAATTTATGGATAATTTTTATTTATAAACTTGTATTATATATTATAATTAAACTATGGTATTAACATGGAAATAGAAATGACTTTATTTAATAAGAATTTATTTGTTGTCACTATTTTGGTGAGTATTATATCACTCGTGAGTAGCCATGGCCACAGACACTACCCGACCACCACTACTACTACAGCCTCGTCTACGATGTCGACCACAATTGTGATCACAAATACTTGTTCAGCAAATCTATTGCTTCAGTGCAACGGCTATAATGAGGTAGAGTTAGCACCGGGACAGGTGTTTGGCTTCAACTTCGCGGGCGACGGCTCTACAGTAGTCCAGTGTCAGGGCAGGTGTCGAAACAGATCCACCGCTCAGACCTTCGACGTGTACGCCGGCAGAGCACCGACAGAAAGCAATGATTGGGAAGTGGCCGACGACGGCATATATCTGGTTAAACAAGTCCTGTATTACTCGTGGCCAACAAATTCACTATAACTTATTTTTATTCATATCTATTATACAGTGTATTATTTATATTACAGAATATTCTTGCATTATATTTTCCTAATTTATGATTACTATAACTTATTGATGTTATTGTTGCGTTTTGTTTTTCGTTGTGAATAAATTGTTTTAAATTCATGAAATCCGAGCCTTAATAACGATAATAAGGCGAAAATGTTTGCCCCGACAACCATATAGAAGACATACCCCCATCCAAACCCCTCTACATATCCAGCCATTGCGGGCCCGACTGCAGCTCCTATAGAGCCGGTGCCGTCAATAATGGCTGAAACAGTGGCCAAAGCTGTCTTGGATTGTATCTTATTAGCCAAGTCTGCGGACACGGCTGTTGTGATGAGATTGTAGGGGCCGTTCACAAACAAACCCGCTATGAATTGCAAAATCTCATTGGAAACCATGGAAAGTGCTCCCCAATAATAATAAGATAATAACTGTTTTAAAAAATGAATTTTTAAAAATATAATAAATGTGTCATTTTTTGCGTAAACTAAGTCTTACTGAAGGAATGGTAAGAAAGAGAAACACAATACAAGTGATAGCACTGGCATTCGTGACATCAGCAATATAACCGGCCAGTATGGCACCGACAGTGCCTCCTATATCAAACGATATGGACAGGTATGCAGATTCTGATGGCGAAACTTTGACTATAAGAGATATATGAAAGAGATGTTAACCATATAATATGCTTAAATGGACACAGACTTGAATGGTTGATATAGAGGGGTAACCAATACATGAAGGTATAGGTGACCAGTTTAGAGAAAAATAGGCAAACTGAATACTCAATGACACCCTACAATTTGATCATACAGTTTAGTTATTGTATCAATTATTAGGCTATTTAAATAAATATAATTTAATTGTTTTAAACAAACGGGAAGTGTGAGGGCACCCAAGAATGAGATGGCCGTTTCGGTTGAGTCTAACTCTTCGTTAATCTGATCACTCGATTCAGTCTCAGTATTATCTGATTCTTTGGTCTCATCAACGAATCCAATATCTTGAGGACCTGTTGTTTAGATATGAAATAAGAGAAAACTATTACTATACATATACAGTATATATTCTATATATTCATTATTCAGTATCTATTAGCTATTGTGTCTTGTATTCTATATATGACTTTAAAAAGTTTAAGTTTCAAACGTAACATTGATTAAATAAAAAAATATTTGACTTACTAGGGATTAAAAATAAGAAACATACTAATGCCATCACAATAGCAATAAGTCCGGGTACTATAAATGACATGCCCCAGTTGTATTCTACGAAAGCACCTGGTTTCGATATTTACATTAATATTTATTTAAAATTATATTGAAAATTAAAAAATATTTGTAAAATATTTATGATACCGGCGATAATAGCGCCGAGAATATTGCCGAGAGTGGTATGAAAGCCCCAAATGCCAAATAAGAGACCTTTCTTGGAGTGTCCGAACCAATTGCCGACAGCGGCTATGACTGCGGGCCAGGCGCTGGTCTGCACAATACCGGTGAACACTTGGATTATAATAAAATAGTAGAGACTATGGATTCCCAGTGGGTATGCGATTCCGGCCAGAATTGAGAAGAGACCGCAGAGTATTAGACTGATTGGCAAAAATGCTCTCAAGTTAGACCTCTCGGCCACATAACCGGCCATAAACATGAACACAGCGTATGAGATCAAGAAGCTGGTGTCCATCCATCCCATGTCCATATCGGCATTGTCTGTGTTAAATGGCGCCCAATCGCACCAATGGATGTCCACATCAGACATATCTCTCTGTTTGTCTGGACTTAAATGTTCGGAACAGTTCTTTGGATGCAATTGTGACTTCACTATAGAGAGGGGACGGCGGGCTAAGTGGGCCACACAGTAGACCAGGAATGTCACCACAAGGACTAACATTTGATAACATTTTCGTTTATTCAAACCAAATCTATTGCTTATATATTCCGTTAACACAAAGCCGAGAGATAATTGCATTATAAGTATTTGTATTATAAATGTAACATAATATAAATGATTTAATAATCCAACACTTTAGGTGTTTTAATGAGGGTTTAAGTAGTAATTAAAACAAAATTAAGTAAAATAATTTGTATTTATGCACACTTTAGACAAAGAAGTTACTTTAATCCTATGATTCTGATTAGATTGGTTTACTATTGTTTTAACTAACATATTGTTAATCAATTACAGGAATTCAATAAAATATGATAAATTAAATGTTAAGAATGGGAGGGACGTGTGGGCATTACACTAACTACAATAGTTAAGTCAAAATTAACACAAAGCTTGTTTAAGTGTAATATTGAATTTACAATTAAACTGTTGCTAAGCTTGTCAATAGTACAACATTAAAGTTAATTAATAAAATAGTCAAATAAACAAGATTGTTAAAAATAATACAGTATTTATTGAGTTATAATTTAAATAACGAATTGATTATAAAACTTGGTTAATTAATTATAAAAACTCAGTTAATATTAATAATGTTATTCAGTGTTGAATTCAAGTTATTTCTGGATTATAAAAGTTATAAACAGAATTAATTAATTAGTATTTTATACTAAATCATAAAGTCATGGACATCTCAACTAACTATTAAACCAAACATTATTTACAACTCAATCAAAGGTAAAGTTATTATAAATACATAATTAAAATAAATATTATTTTGAATTTGCGTTAACAATGGATTTGTTAATCAATTCTGAGGGCAATGAGTGGATATTGATTTGCATCACCCCTTCCGGTGCCGTAATCTCTTCGAGTCTAATGAGTGCCAATTTGTACTGGAATTCCGTGAGGGCTCTCAAGCGCCGGGAGTTGTCATACCTTTCCTCGTGATCCTTCGATACATTCAAATATGATGTCCAAAACTCTTGCGATTCAATTCTGACGGACAAAAACTTGCGGTAAGTGTAGACCAGACTCTTCATGACATCGACGCCAACGTCTTTGTTCGCGACCATAAACTTCACCAATTCTTCCAAGTCTTCGTCGGTCAACACATTCATGTCCTCATCGTCTGACTGGACGTACACTTTGCCATCGATTAGTGTCTGAATCAGTATTTGTTGGTTTGTGTGTCTGTCGGCCACAGTCTTGTTAATCGGATCCATACGCGAGACAGTGTTAGCCACCGATGAACGAGTCATACATTTCTTTGAATCGCTTTTCGCTTTAGTATTCATTTTATTTTATTAACTGATTATATGTTGAAAAATAATTAATATTCTATTAAAACGCAAATTAAAACTAATTTTATGTTTATTTTATGTTTCTGACAATATTTCTCAATACAAATTCATTTCACTGAATATTAGAAATAATATGAATGGATGTCTGATTAAAAGTCAATGTTTTGTCTCATATCTTATCACTTAAATGAAGAGTAACTTACAGTTAATCCAAGGATATCTTATATTGTTAGATAGGACTTTGTATGTAAATTATAATATTAGTATTGGTTTACTAATAGTAACATACAGTATAAAGTACTCTAATAATTGAGTTTACAATTGTAATTGAGATAATTGAGTTTAATATTTTAAGTTTTCCATTGAATGTAGTGTGACCTGGGAATTTAAATTTATATAAACATATACAATTTTGTTTGGTAAAAATGTTAATAAAAATAAAAAGTTAAATAAATTGCTTATTAGTAATAAGTTATTACAGTCATGTGAAATTAATTAACCCTACCTCCTTATGTAAACAATGCCTATTAACTTATTAGTCATTAATTTAAGTGAAATAAAAAGATAGTAAGTTATTTTTGTTATTTATCTTAAATTATATTTTTCAAAAGTAATCAAAATGAAACTTGTTTAAAAATTATTTGAAATTATTTGTGAATCATAAATTATGACATTATTAATTAAAGACGATAAGTAATATTTATGAATACATGTGTATTTTATTTGGTTTAATTAAAATAAATATATTGATATAGAAATTAATAAATTATTTTATGATTATGTTTATTTATGGTTAAAATACTGATATCTTTAAGTTATGTTACAAATAGAAGTTTTTAGAATTTAATGCACAGAATATTCTAATCATAAAATAGTATAAAATAAAATAATACTTATAAAAAGATTGCGATATTAAGTATATGAGTTCATTAAATATTATGAAATTTATACAGATGATAATCGATGTTGTAAACTTATATCTTACACAATATTATACAGTACAGTATATATTTTACAATTAGTAATAACCAAGCTATAAAGTGCATAATAAGGTTACTTAGTGGTGGTGACGGTTACAATCTCGTGATTTAATTCATAATTGTTTCTCGACTTCTTTGCCCTCCAATTAAACAGAAGACGTCTAAAATCGTTGTAACCAATCCTTGTGATGGCCAGTAGTGCAAACAAGTCGGCTAACATGACTACAATGAATACATCGTCCCAACCAAACTCAGACACCCAACCGGCCAGAGAGGGTCCGATTGCTGCCGGATATGATGGTCACCGCAGCTATTACCGGCTGTGACACCGGTAGCGACTGAAACTCCCGTGAAAACTAGGGTTAAGACGCCTGTGCCGCCAACATTACTCTCGCATGCCACGGTAGTGCTTATTCCCGGCTACAAATTGTAGGCCTTCATTGGCAGCTTCTGACAAATTACCATAAAGTCGATATATACCCAACTTTTTTCATGAATACATTGATTAGTTTTGAATGGTTAGCCAGGGTGGTTTTAATACTTACAGAGGGAATGGCAAATATGAGCATAAATATGCACGATAGAGCACTGGCACCAGTTTTATCGGCCATATAGCCGGCAGTTATGCCACCGAGAATGCCTCCCAAATCAAAAAAGATTGTCATATAAGCAGACTTTGAGGTAGAGATGTCTGGATTTGTCTGCGATATATATAATGGCAACCAATCGAGGAATGTATAGCTGACCAGTTTAGCGAAGAATAAACAGATTGAAAACTCAATGACCCCCTGATTTACAAATAATACTTATAATTAGTATCAATATTATTATGTATATTGAGACTGATATCAATACTAAAATAGTATTCAAACAAAAGTTAGATATCATGATAAGATAATTACCGGTATTTTAATAGCATCTAAGATACTGATGGCTTTGTGTTGTTGTGTCTCATCTTTGAATTGAATTTGTTTGATGTTTCGGTTCATATCATTATTCTTGACTGGAGTTTGTTCCGTATGTTCCGTATCTGAACTCAAACTCAAACCGACTTCTTCTGGTTCTACGCAAACGATTAGATAATATAAAAGTAATTATTAGAAAACAAGAATCAATAAGTAATCAATTATTTGCTTATAATTCGTGATAAGTTATCATTGATAACGATTCATGAGTTACACGAAATTGTTTCACGTGTTTGACAAACGGATTATTCAATAGAAAAGTTTGCTTACTTTGCACGAGAAATAGGAACACCAGTAGACTCATGGCCGCGATTATGACCCCGGGAACTATGAAACACAGACCCCATTGGTCGTCGACGAACAGCCCGGCCACTGCAGCACCGGCTATGTTACCGAAATTGAGGTGAGAGTTCCAGATACCAAAGATAAGACCTCTCTTGGAGGGCCCAAACCAGTGACCGACTGTTCCCAATACACCTAATTATCACAATTTAAGATTAAATAAGCTTCGGTGGCACCTCATATTAAATTCAATGTTAACATACCTGGCCAACCAGTCGACTGACCGATTCCAGTGAGAACTTGGATTACATAGAAATAGGCCAACGAATGGATATCCAGGTAATATGCGAGTCCAAACAATACGTTACACAATCCCGCAAATAACATACCAATTATCAGAAAGTACCGCAAATTCATGCGTTCGGCAATCCATCCATTGATATACATACTGACGGAGTATGATATCAAGAATACCAAATCCAATGTACCTGTTCATCATGTCAAACCAAATCGTTAATATAAGCTATATACTTTTTAAATAATGACTTTATTTACCCAATAGTGTGCGAGCATGACCACCCTTGAACGGCTCCCAATCGCACCAGTATTCATTATAACCAGTGATTTGAAGTTCAGTAAAGTTGACGGAATCGGACAATAGTTCAGTACAGTTGGCGTGATTTAGAGCTGGTTTGGCTATACTTAGGGACCGACGAGTGAGATGACCGGATGGAAAGGCAACTCAATTCTCTACTTTGGAGACCAGATCTACAGTGATTTGGCGGACATTACACTGAACTTCGGTTGGAGAACGGGTGCTATTATTGTGGAACTGGAGGTATTGCATGAGAACTGCCCCCTAATTAAAACTAAATGAGTTATGAATTCTTACTTTAAGAGAGAAATCGAAACTTTTAATTCTCAAGAGTTTAGAGAAGCTGTCAGTGCTTTACAGGCCTTACAACTACTTATAGACGGATCGCACAAATCTAAAGACAATCATTTATTGGATCAATTGATGGTTCAAAGAGATACTCTTCGGTATTGTCTATAATATATTAATTCTTATGATAACAGAATTGTCTCTAAAAGTGGTGTCTATTGCAGAGCGCGGACTAAAACCCTATTCAACCCTCAGTTCGGGAGTATATTCCGGACGCATAACAATCCCACGTATTTCTCGCGCCGTCTGTTCCGCTATTCAGACATTTATATGTCTTTTGTGACCAATTTATCGAATTATTCTTTGANCCGTCTGTTCCGCTATTCAGACATTTATATGTCTTTTGTGACCAATTTATCGAATTATTCTTTGAATCACATATTCTGTCCCCGAAGAGGACTACTGCCACACGAGACAAACATCTGTCAGGTCCACATCCAGTCGCACCACCAGTAGATATGTACTCGCATTCAGTTGTCATGTCATATTGTATTTGACAATCAATATAGAGATTAAATTAAAGACAAATTTGATGTTTCTATTCATTTCTATGTTTATGATACTTTCGAAGTGATCCAGGTAACTTTAAATATTGCAACGATATATGTCACGTTATATATGTCACGTTATATATGTCACGTTATATACGAGCAGTCAATGACACAAACAAATGGCGCTAAAAATTGAGGCAAATATCAGTTGATTACTAAATCTATCGATATATCTGTGGTTACCATCGGATCAATTGGTGGTGAGTGATGACTGCCGAGAACTATCTCATTCAGTCCCTTATGTGGAGACAATGTCTGACTGAAGACAAATTCAAGCAAATGGTTGGCAAATGTCAAAGAGGTATGAATGTGTGAATTGTGTGACCAATGAATGCATGGTTGGTCTGATTGGACATCACTTGCAGATCTTCCGGAAGGCTCTGAAGTGAGCGCCGAAATGATGGGCCAAATGGTGGCAAAAGTGAATCGACAGCTTAGACCCTATAATATGGCGATCAGTCGCGGACCCAATGAAAGCGACGGAACCATTCACTACGCGCTCATCAATACCGCAGACAATGATATCACAAGAATGGCTACTATTTGGACACAAAAGGAGTTGATTTACTACAAGAAAGTGTTGACGGCTATCGTGGAGAGTGACACCACTTCCATAACTTCGACCAAACTGTTGAACATCGGTCGCAACGATGAGATCAAGTTCACAGTGAGTGCCGCAGAGAATCTGATGAACAAATGGATGGATCAGAAGTGGTTCGAAGAGCTGTCTGACGGAAACATTGCGATCGGCGTCCGGTCTCTGCTCGAGATGAATGTGTATATTAGGGATCACTTGGACGTGAAGGACTGTCTCCGGTGCAAAATCCTGTGCGTTCGTGGACTCGATTGCATGTCCTGTTCGTCTAAACTTCATTATCACTGCTCAGACTCGCAGTACATTCAGGACAACAAGTGTCCCAATTGTCACAAACAATTTGCGGACACCGAACACATGAATAGCGGGACGACAGCAGACAATAGGGATGAAGACGTGGACAGCGATAGCGATGACACCGTTGTTGAGGATAATCCGAGTGGACGAAGAGGAAGATCCAAGAGATGAAGACTTTCATAGATTTCTAAATAAGCTCTCGTTTTGCAAAAGTATCTCTTTTTATATCTCATTCAATAGTATTATAATTTATAAAACTTGAAAATTGAAAACAAATTTATAGAAATCAAACAAAATGAATAACATTTATATATTAATTAAACTTAAGGTAAACTTAATTAAACTGTATATGAATTAAACTATTGTTTGTTGGTTTGTTCCTTGGCTTTGAGCTTCTCATCGATGAAAGCCTTAATCCGTTGCTTGAGTTCAGTGTCGGGAACGACCAAATCCATGGTCAGCGGCGCCCGAGTGAACGGATCCGTTTGGTCA